ACGGGTTTTGCTGGGGCAAGAGAATGTGACAGTAGTGAGGTACACATGTGTCCTCCTAGTGGAAGTGGAATGAATAAGACTTCATTCCATGGGTGTCTCCTGAAACTCTCATCCTTGGGTGCTCAAGTTGGGATCACAAACACCACCATGCTGTAATGACCTCAAGAGACGGGGGGAGGCTGCCGGAGCTCAAAAGTCCATGTGCCTCAAAGATCTGGCACTTAGCAAGAAAAGCCAGGCAGCTGAGTGAGTCTACCTGGCAGCCAGGCCAGGAGAGCCTTCAGGTCACTTCTGCTCCTGCTCACATCTGACTAGAACCACACCTCAGACCACAAGTGAAAACCACCCAGCTGATATCACCAAGTGTCTCTTGGACATGGTGACAAATGCGTGGATCGCTCACTAGCTCTGTTTGTCTTTCATTTAATATTTTGTCCCCATGGAGTAGGCATGAGAAAGAGGAAGATCATCATTCCATCCTTATGTGTGTAGGATATCTTTTGTGTCCTAATTTATAAAAGAATGAACTCAGGCAGGACTCCTGATTAGATCTCAGTTGATAGGCCTAATGAAATAGGAAAAGCTGTCCTCATCCAGATCCCCAAGAACAGGCACCAGAATCTTCTGCCATAGTTTACCTTTCCTGGAAGTGAGACCACTGGTTTTAATAGGAGGGAGATGTGAGTTAGGATATGAGATTTAGTAATTAGAAGGTGTGTGGACACAGGCAAGTGACTACCTATGTGAACCTTCATTTCCTGTTCAGTAGGTTGGGGATGGTGGCAGCAGATGTTTTACACATTGAAAGATGAGGGGCCATCCATACTCTGAACTGTATCAGGGACATGGCAGTAAGGCAATGAAAACTATGGCCATTGTTATGACTTTAATATCCATGGTGGTAGTAACGGAGCAGCAGCTGAGGCACCAGAAGGAGACGTCCCATCATTTAGGAACAGGCCAATATACTCTACATATTGTGATCATTACATTACAGATTTTGAGTGGAAAGCAAAAGAAGTGTCCTTTAGGATACTTGAGGTATGTCATGGGTGAGATCCACATCACGCTATTCCATGCTTCCTAGACCAGGGATTTCAGGGGTCTTCTCTGAAGAATACATTTGGGGCTCCTGTCCTGGATGTAGCCAGTGATCACTTGGCCGTGTCTGGGTGAGGACCAGAGGATTAATTACATTCTTCCGTCTCTCTCTGTGGAGGGAAACATGGAGATGCACACATCCCCGCCATTCTCTGGGGCAATCTAGCTCTTAGTTTGGAGGAGAAGGTGGCCAGATCCCCTGGGGATCCAGACCTACCTGCCCTGGGCAGAGCAATATGTAAGGATGAAGGTGCATTGTTTGTGCCATTTCTATAATCTTGATTTCTCTCTACAACATGTCATTCTTAGGTGTGCTGTGCAGAGAGGCATTCAATTAAATGACAGAGGTCAAGAGAAGCCCTCACAGGCGGGTTTCACATGTCCTACTGCAGGAACTGGCACCACACCCCCGATGCCTTTGTGATACCTTCTGTGGGGACTCTTGTGGTGGGTCAGGTCTGAGTAGGAGTCAAGTGGCTAGCAGGCATCTGATTCCTGCCTTCCCAGTAGCCCACAGTGAACTGATAGACCCACCCCAACACCCCTACCAGTCCTGGCTCAGTGGGAATTTTCAGATGTGCCACTTTGTTTTGCCAATAATGACCATCTTGAGTAGCCCATCGTAATCATGATGGGCAATCGTTATGTCTTGTAACAAAATGTCCATGGGAAGATTGTCGTGTAGACCATTCAAATCAAAGTCGTGTTGACATCATAAAGCACCCAGAGTTTCTGCGGCTAGCTACTATACTTCATTGCACAGTCAGTCCCCAGGGACATTGTCAGGAATGGTAACGTGATGTGGAAAAGGCTGCACAGACCCCAGCCGTGTGTTTCCTTTTGAGTCCAAAGAACCCTTTCCTAGAAACAAGCAGACTGAGCCTATTCTGAGAAGGAGCCATGTGTCAGTCCAGTGGGGGGCGTGTACAAAGAGCTTCCATCACACTCCATTAAGCAGCAGTTTCGCATTGTTCCCCCTCTGACTTTCATCCGGCAATGACCTTCATGGAAGTTTACCTCTTTTCATCCCTGCCCGCCGTACCATCTCATCATCTGATTTTCAAACGTGATGGAGTTTATTCAGAATCGGGTGCCAGTAACTGTGATTCTCGTGAAATGGGGGGCTCCCATGCTCTCAGAGCTCTCAGGCTGCTTGTGGGGGAATATAAAACTTCCATAACAGTGCCAAAGGCAACTGCCCAAGAAGTCTTCTATCACGGGACAGCGTTGTGGCTAAAGTACAAACCTAGGTTTGTGCCTAGGTTCCAATACTCCTTCCATCTGTTACTTGGTGGAGCATAATGAAGCACTCTGAGACTCATTTTCATAATCTAAAGTAGGAGGATAGTGAAAGTAATCTGCTTTCATGAGGCAGTCCTGCTGTGATCATTCCATGGAAAGTAATGTTCCACTTTGAACATTACCAATGGCTCTTTAATTGTGAGGTAGGCCGTTGGCAAAAGGGGAAGCCCTGGGTTTATATCTCTTGAGAGTGCATACAGGATGTATTCAGAAGTCTCCTAGGCCTCTCTGTTCCTGTGAGAAACAGATGTGAACGAAGGGAGGCAAATGCTATTCTTTGAGGTGCGCTCTGAAAGAGCTACGTTCCGCAGCCAGGCTGTCACCCAGACGTGCCCAGCTCCTTTTCAGTGCCTCTGACCCACGGCCTGTTCCTTCCTGGACACACCCCTGATCCCCACTCTTGCCCCTCCCCACCAGAAGGATGGAATTTATAACCAGTTTTCCCATCAGTCCACTGTTACATCACCTGCAGTACCTTGGTAACAATTCTTTGGTCATCAGGAGTCCCAGCTAACCATCACCACCTGGGGAAGGTCCCCTCCAGTGCTGCCACACTGTCCAGAGGGGGTGGGGGGTGGGGGTGTGTTGGATCAGGGAGCAGTGCTTGATTTCACATGAAAAGAAAGAAAGAATTCAACTGGTTTGTCACACTAAGAACCTGATCACCATTAAGGCCCTGGACTTCCTCCTCCCATCACTCCAGGCCTAGAGGGTGAGAGTTGAGGACACTGTGTATCATCTAACTTGGCCCACCGCCCACAGGGAAAGATCCTCTCTGCCAAAGACTTCTACCTTCCCCGAAGAATCTCTTGCCACATCCAACCACCACTTTGTGAGTGATGGTGGCAGAAGGATCCAGCTCCCCTAAGAGATCGGCAGGACTTCTAATCAGGAAGATCGGACGGCTGTACGCTCACACGGCGCACTTGATATTATAGTGAGAAGAACTGAAGCATCATTATTGGTAAGGTTGACACGGGTGTGATCCTGAGAGACACAGAAAGACCATCTCCTAAGAACTGGACAGGTGAGTGTGGGTGTTTCCACAAGACCATGCGCACACTTGATGTCTCAAGCTAACTTGTGGGGATTCCTGTGGGAGAAATCGTATTCCCCATATGGAGGAATCCTATTCCCCATATAGCCCATCATCAGTCTCACAGCTGCCGTTTCACTCCCCGAGTCCGGAACGTTTAGGATTTTCTTGGTTGGGAATACAGGATCTTTGGACTGTGTGTGGCACTCCATAGCCAACTGGTCCTGAATCAGTGTCAGAGAGCGTGGTCTCCTTGGTGTCTGCCACATGACTCACAATCACCCTTGGAAAAGATAAGATAATGGGAGGGTGTCCATGTGAGGAAGGCAGAAGGGTATGCCCCCAAGACTCTGGTACACTGGATATGCTTCCCGACACATATCTCTGTAGGGACTCCAAAAGTGCACATGAGTGACCTTAAGATAGGGAAATTGTGCTGGATTATCAGAATGGGACTCTGGAGGAGGCCACAGGGAGAGCAGAAGAACAAACTGGGGGGCCTCTAGGAGCAAAAGTGGCCATCAGGCGACGGGCATCCAGGGAAGGGGAACCTGACTTCCAGGGCTGCAAAGAACTAAACTCCACCCTCAGGCTGGGTGAGCCTGGGAGTGCGTTCTCACTCAGAGCCTCCACTGGGGGACAGGGGCCCTGGGGCATCTTGAGTTGGGGGTTGTGAGACCCAAAACCAAGGATACTGCCAATTTCACCTGGCCTCCGGACACACAGACACTGGAAGAGAGTAAATTTCTGTCATCTGCTTCCAGGGCTTTTGTGGTCAATCTTTATGACAGTGGCAGGAAAGGCACACTTTCAGTGTGGAAAGGCACACTGCCACCCTGGAAGACATCAGAGAATCTCATTCTGGAACATGCAAAGTGTCATTAGGCAGTTTTAACAGTGATGTTCTTGGTTCCTGTGTTCAATTATACTTATTTGAACAAGCTTGTCAGGAATCTCTAGTGAGACCATCAGAATTGCAGAATTGCACCTTGATTAAAAATTTGGACATAAAACAGATAGGTCAAAATGATCATGTGTTCAGGGCCATGCTTAGCTTCATCACTCTGTTATTAGTGATGGAGAGAGAAAAAGTAAGAACGGTCACCATGGTCACAGGCTGTATTTCTCACTCATCCTAATGACTGGCATGCATGAATATGGAAATTCTTAGAGGTATCCTCTCCTGCATCTCTTCACGGGAACGCCTGGCATTTGATGAACAACATTCTCGTAGGATGTTGTGACTAGATTTACAGAGGAGTGGTGGCTTTCCAGTTGGCAACTGCATGTGGATAGAGCCTTGGGGGTGTGTTTGATATTCACTTTGGCCATATTGTGGTGTAGGGCAAGGCAACAGTCCACACTGGAAAGGCCCCAATGGAATCAAAAGTGGTCTCAGATAGAGAGCGGGTCCAAAGATGAAAGGACTAAAGCAGAAGAGGGAAAGGAATGGATGGGTGGCGCACGTGAACAAAGGCAGAAGACAGAATCAAGATGGGGAGACTGGAGCATTCACAGAGTGAAGACTTTGCATTTCATTTTATTATTATTATTATTAGTTGTTCAAAACAGTACATAGCTCTTGACATTTCAACATACTTTCAAAACGGGTTCCACCACTCCTGTGAAGTGCTTTATCTCTCTGATCTTTGTTTGCCTCATCTGAAAGTGGGGAAAAGAGAAGGTCAGGGATCAAATGCTCTCTCTCCTGTGCAGAAGCTAGAGAGGAAAAGGTAATAAAAAGGGATCCTCGGGGAAACAGGGGGCAGAAGAGTAGGGGAAGAGGATGGAGGGGGAGACAGGAGGGGAGAGAAAGGGGCCATACTGGGAAGTGAAATCAACCAAACTGTGCTATGTGCATGTAGGAACTTATCACAGTGAATCCCACATTCCTGTCTAATTATGATACATCAACTGCCACAAAGGGGAAGGGGCAACAGTCAAATACAGCAAAGGGTTCTGAGGGGAGGCAGGAAGTGATGGAAAAGATGAGTCCCTAGAAATGAAAATGATCCAATTGTTTTGAGCTTGTTTGAAGATGTCACATGGACCCCATGGTCGTGTTATGACTGTACCACACCAATGAAAACATTTTAAAAATTATCTTTGAGAGTTGCCCTGGGAGAATCCACCCAAGCCACCGGGACCAAGAAGCTCTCCTCCATGTTCCCAGGCTCCCTTGCCTAGGGCCTGCTGTCTTTCATGGCTGCTTTTAGTAGCATCTTGGGTACTGCTTCCTTCCCCATGCACTGTGAGCCCCTGGCTGGCTCTCAGCCTGCAGGAGACATTCCCAGGTGTACAAAGTATGCCAGAGTCTCGATGCTCAGTCTGGTGCTCAGCTAGTGCTCAGACACCTCACTCCTGAGAGTGGCAAGGCCTCTGCTGCCTGCTCTGGGCAGAGCCACGATGCTGATGCTTTCAGTTTACTTATGGGAAGTCATATCTAGCAGGGGAGTCACCTGGGAAAATATCTTGCCTTAATTTTCTGAGAATCCAGATTTGTAGCCGTCATCCCCACACTGTGTACAAGCCTATCACACCAGTGTCAGCATGCTCATTCCCCCATTTGTGATGTATCTTTATCAATGCAGTTTGGGTCTGTAGTGAGCAGTCCAGTAAGCCGTCCCATCTGCAGGGGATTCATGTAGCAGAGTGGGCCCCCAGGGAATATTATTTGAAGAACACAGCCTTACGAAACAGGTTGGTTTATGGTATGCATGGGGGGTGGGGGACATGGATGCCACATGGGCCTATCTCTTCAGGTTCAAGGAGGTGAGCCTGGGACGTCCAGATGACCTCTGTCTGCCACTTCTACAACAAGGTCTCTCTCCTTGTTCTGATCCTGTTCCTTAGGGGACTCTTCATCTGTTTCACCAGCTCCTCTTCCTGCCCTTAGGTTCTTGTGACATTGGCTGTGGCAGCAGTCCCTAGAGGTCTTCCCACCCAGTGTGGCAATCAGTAGTGCTGCTATCAGGGATACCCAAACTTCCCCAAACCCACTTGCTCACCAAAGCTAAGATTTTCAGAAAACTCCTGTTCTCAACCTACCTGGTTTTGGTACTCAAATGGTGATCAGAGAAGAGACTCTATCCTTTCACTCTCCCCCAAAGAATCAAACTGTTGTGACATTCATCAAATGATGTTATGTGCATGTGCAAATATGGAGAGATGAATCCCCCGTATTATCAAAAATTATAACACGCCAAGAAAACGTTGTAAAAAATGAAATGAAAAAAAGTGATAAGGGGAGGAGATTGTTTCAGAGAGTCCCAAACAATCAATGAAGGGGCACAGCAGAGGAGAGCTGCAGAAGAGTACGCAATGGTACAAGGGGGAGCTCTAAGGGTGAGCGGGGTTCACGGCCCGTTCAGAAATGAGGGGAATGAAGTAGGAACAGCGTGGGGGCAGCCAGGCCATGGCAGCCCACTCCCACCTTGGTAAGCAGTTGGAAGTAGAGGCTCCGGCCTGCAGGTGTGAGCATCTCCATCTTCTTGGGGGTGCTCTTGTCTCTTGGGTAGGGCCCCTTGATCCATCTGTTCTTCTACAGTGCCTTCTCTGCAAAGAATATGAATGGTGCTGTCACGCCTCCAGCAGGGGACCCAGAGCATCTCTCTGTGATTTCCAAATGGTATCAAGGTTAACATGTGGGTCCTTTTTGTCATGACCTATAAAGCATTCAATCTGCTTTCCCCACACAGTCCCCGGAAAACTGCTTAACAGTCCCCATAATAGTCACCCAGTGAGAGCAGACCATTACGAGAACAACTGCTTGCCTAGACAAATCCAGAGCTCCCTTGCAGCGAAAGTCACTGACTTCTGCCTGGTGGGAAAGGACTTCTGACCAGGTAAGTTCATGTGAACTGGCTTCTGCCCCCTTGGATCTCAATGGAGATCTTGAGAATTAAAGTGATCCTGGAATAGTCCTTCCCTTATCTCTGGGATGGTGTGTGTGTGTGTTGGGGGTGGGGGTGGGGGGCTGGAATTTTACCCCTGAGTCATGGCCGTAAATTGGCACACAGGACTCAGGCTGTGTGCATGACGTTAGACATGTTATTGAACATGATGACCGAGCTGAGGTGTCGTGGTTGCGTCCCATGTACCAAGCATTCTGCAGAGCATTTCCCCTATTGAATCTCATTTGATCACATCCAGTATCTCCATAAGGGACAATTATTATGAGATTACAAGGTCTGCAGAGGTCACACATCTTGCCTAAGGGCACAAGGTGTAAATGGGCAAGCCAAGATACCAACACAGGCTTGATGGCCCCTTACACCCAGTGACTCTCAAAGAAATGGACATTAATACCATAAGCTGTGGTTACACTGGAACACTTGCATTGACATTCCTCGTCTCATAAAATCCTCAACTGCACACTAGAGCTGTGAGTGTATAAGTGTGCTCCCTTTTTCAGAGAAGTCTCAGGATAGAAAGGTGGGGGAACTGAGGCTGAAGCTCTGGGTCCTGTGAGTGTTTCCGCCAGTATCAGGCAGCTCTGTGGGGTTCCAAGGGGTTGTCCTGGAAGCCCCAAGGTGTCAGCCAGTCCACCTTCTTTTATTCCTCCTCCTCCTGCTCAGTGCACTCAAACATTCGGTAGCTTTTCCGCCAGATACCTGTTAGGGCAACGTCATACCCAGAAGACAACATGGCCAGTGGGCACACAGACATTCAATTCTGAGGCAGAAGATGAGCAAACACAAGGATTAGGAATCACTTATTGGTCTTTTATGATTTGCATTCCTGTAAATCAGAGAAGGCACGTGAAGTGCTCACAATAGTGCCCATCGTCAGCTGTGCTCTTGCTTCCGCAGTTGTGCTTTCTCACAGTTGTTGCTTAGCAACAAGTTTCCTTGGTACCATTCTCCCCACATTGCTGCTACTATCACCTCTGCCCTAATAATAACTGAAGTACTTACTTAAATACACATCTCCAATATTGGTTTCATCAGACACCTTTCTCCTGCTATTTCCTAGAATGTGTGTGAATCTGTGTGTGTGTCCACATTCTCGTGTATGTGTGTGTCTGTGTGTGTGCGTGTGCACGTAAGACAGAACATTCAATGTGAGACTCATAATTCCATCCAATTTAGTACACTGTTTTCAGCACTATTAGGCATTCATCTACCCAGATTTGTTAAAACATGCCAACAGGCAGCAGTGGATATGTTATTTAGAGAGCTGGTTTATCCTTGGAAGACAATTTTATGTAAAAGAGCCCATACCATACTGCAACCATACACTGAGTAGAAATTAGTTCATGTCATCAATGGCTGATTTGTAGCCAGTAGTGGGATGGCTGGATTACCTGGAAGTTGTAGTTTCAACTTTCTGAGGGACCTCAATCTGTTTTCCTTGATGGCTGTCCTAACTTCCATTACCACCAACAGCATACCAGGGTTCTCTTTTCTGCACATCCGTCCCGACATCTCTTATTCAGGGTCCTTTTGATAACAGTCATGCTGACCGTTGTGAGATGATGTCTCTTTGGAGTTTTCATTTGCCATTCTCTGATGATTCCTGATGTGGAGCATTTCACCAGATACCTGTGGGCCGTTGGTACATCTTTTATTTTTGTCAGCCAACTACTCATATACGTTGCCCAATTTCTAATCTTGTTATTTGCTTCCTTACAATTGAGTCGAGTCCATTATGTGATTGGAAATGAACCCCCTCATCACAGGTCAGGATTGCAAAGTAGTTATCCCATTCTGTCGGCTGTGCCTTCTGATGGCTGGTTGCTTCCACGTCTGTGCACTAGTTTTTAGCTTTGATGCATCCACCACATACGTCTACTTTCAATGTTGTTACCCGCTTTCAGAGACATATCCAAACAATCGTTGCCCACACTGATGTCATGGAGCTTTACCCTTGTGTTTACTTTCAGTAGATTTATATATATATATATATATATATATATATATATATATATATATATATATATATATATATATATCACGTTTATGTCTTTTATCCATTTGGAGTTGATTTTTGCATAGGTTGTTAGGTGAGGCTTTATCCATGTAGTTGTCCTGACATATTGATGAGACTGTGCATGATGAGACTGTGCAGAATGTTTATGTATTTCGTTTCCTTTATTATTATTAACAGACATTTAATAAATCCTGCATTTGAAAACCATTAAGTAATACATGTGTATTCAACCTAAAGATTCAGACACTAGGAGACTGCACTAGGAGTTCATTAGCCTCTGGAATGAGACTCCATTAGCATAGACTGGAATGTCGTGTAGACCAGAATCTTTACACACCTATACCTTTTCTCTTTTCTCTTTTATTCGGGGGTTATGGACATTGAACCCAGAGGCACTTTGGCAGTGAGCTACATCCCCAACTCTTTGGGGTTTTCGTTTGAGATGAGGTAGGGTTTCACTAAGTTGATTAGGGTCTGGCTAAGTTGCTGAGGCTGGCCTTAGGCTTGCAATCCTCCTGTCTCAGGCTCCCAGGCAGATGGGATTACAGGCATGCACCAACACACCTGGCAACATACTTATACCTTTAATGTACATCATTCCTTCTCTCATTTGTTGCTACCAACTCTCCTGAGAGAAGATGGATTCTACTGAATTCCAGACAAAAAAGAGTTAGAAATTCCAAATTCATGAGATGTTACAGTTCTTATGGACCACCAAAGCTTAAAGTACTATTTCCTGCAGCCACTTGTTTCCTAATCATATAGGGATACAAAATAAGTCAGGTTGTGTGGCTTTTTATGATCGAAGTTTAAACCAACAACGTTCTGTGACTGGCACACAGAGTTGCTGGCACACATAGACGTGTCCCGTGGCTGTTTTAAGCGTAGAGACCTGTCAATTTTCCTGCCTTCAACAGCCAATAGACAAGCATCATAATGGGAGAGAAACACTGGGAACTGAAGTGAAGGCGGTTATCTCCCTTATTTTGCGAAGATGCCCATTTAATTATAAATTGAGAAATTAAGAGATACGGTTTGAATCCCATGTTCTGACCTTGTCACTTAGAATCCCATGTTCTGACCTTGTCACTCTCGAAGGATGCCAAAGAAAAATTGGGGGATAACTCAGAGAGAAGTGACAACCCTTCCAGATAGCCTGAAAATGAACCGATTTGTCTGCCACAATTCTGAGTTGATATTTCTGAATTGACCAGTTTCTAAATCTGGCCTTCAGCAGAGGTGTGAAAACTATCCAAATAACAACTAGGAAATGGGTGAACAAGCCCAAGAAGGTACTTCAGAGAGACTTAGAGTTGATTTTCAACCAGAGGAAAGCAATAGAATCCATTAAATCTGGAAGTCAGGCATGAAAAAGGGCTGGGTACACCAGGTGATCCTAGGACAATGGTGCTAGGATGATGCTGCATTGTACCAGGGAGCATTAAAAAGGTTCGTCCTGTGGGGAAATAATGGCTGTTCTCAGCTGATGACATCATCGCCCACTGTCCTTTACTACACATGCCAAGATGGGGGTGAGGATAGGAAGTACATTTTTACTAACATAGTACCCATAGGTTCCATTTAAATGTCCTGCCTCTTCATTTCTTAATAAAGAAAGTCAGATAGTCTTCATTTAAGAGAAAGTGGAAATTGTTTAAAATATGAGGGCTGGGTCCAGTATGAGCTATACATCCAAGGCAAGGTACATTGAAATCCAAGTAAATTATAAGAGAGAAGGGAAGTTTAAATCCAAGTAAATTATAAGAGAGAAGGGAAGTCCCCAAGGGAGCTCGATGTTTATTGTTCCCCTTCCAAGAAGAGGAAATTTACCCTGAAGGTTAGATGCCTACATGAACTGAGACACATTGTCACTCAGCTATATGCAACTAAATATAGGAACCATGCAGTCTACATGGTAGGGATTAGATGGTGAGAAACGTACAGTTCTGCTTTCATGGCCAGGTCAAGCACTTGAGAAAAGCTGGCAGGATCATATGAACTGCTTGCCTGCACCCTCAGTGGGACTTTATCCTTCTCTCCACCTTCTTTGCATATGGGAAGCATGTCATTGGACGTCCTGATTGCCACGGTCAATGCAACCAGGTTTAGGTGAATGGTGGCACATTGCAGAGTTCAGTGGCATTATGGGGGAGACTGGGTTCCACACTCTCCTCTGTCTTGAGTGTCTTCCTTCTCCAGCTCGTCCCCCTCCCCTCTGGCTAATGAAAGTGCATGGCTGAGAACAGTCCTCTCTCTCTCGGGCTTGGCAGGCTTCTCTGCTTTCATCACCATCTCCCTCAATATACGAGTCTTCAATAATTCACTGTGGTCTATTTGCCATCAGCACACCCAAGTCCTCTTGTGCTGTTTTCCTCTTTGGAGTTCTCAGGGCTTTTCCCTTCATCTTCGGGGAGCAAGTTCTAACAAAGGGCCCCACATGTGTTGAAATGTGGTGGAAGGGGAGGAAATTCATTCCCATGGGTCAGCTATGGGAGTCTCAGGATCTTCTTCCAATGGCTCTGCATTGGTCTCCCCTCCCTGAGACACAATACCCTGATGAAACTCATCTTCTTTCATCTGACATTTCCCATCCTGGTTGGAATCCAGAGACTCCACTTCAGATTCTACATTAATTGATCTGAAGTGGAATCCTGATCCAACAAATCACCTGTTTGTTTAGG